CCCAAAAGCGCCCCCACTGGGCCCCCCCCCCCCCCTTTGACCTACTGCTCTATAGCAGCTGCATGGTCTGCTATGGTTATATATGCGCTAATGCATGAGCATGTTGTATAGTGTACAGTCGTCACAGTATGACAATACTAACATCTCCAAAATATGTCCCTTCCTAACCAATGGAACCACTAAGCAACTAATCCACTCACTTGTCTCTCATCTTGACTATTGCAACTCACTTCTAATTGACCACTACACAGGCTATCCCCCCTCCAGTCTCTAATAAATGCTGGTTCCAGACTCATCCAGCTTGACAATCGCCCAGAGAATAAAAAACAAAATATTAACAACCACTTACAAAGCCATCCACAACTCCCTCAGCTACATCTCCAACCTCATCTCAAAATATCACCCTGACCATCCTTTCCGCTCCTCCCAAGTTCTCCTGCTCTCTAGCTCGCTCATCCCATGCTCACCTCCAGGACTTCTCCAAAATCTCTACCATCCTCTGAAACTTTCTATCAACCTGTCCGGCTATATCCTGCTCTGTCTGCCTTTAGGCAATCCCTGAAGGCATGCCTATCCTACCTCTACGTAACAACTGACTACTTTCTCAAACAATTCATCCCCTCACAGCTACCACCTTTTGTGTCACCTGACACTCCCTTTTTGGATTGTAAGCTCTCATGGGCAGGGCCCATGTAACCATCTGGTCTTGAATCGTATTATAACTGTACCATCTTACTTTATATTATAAAATGTAGCGCTTTACAAAAAACTGTTGGCACTATATAAATCCTGCACCATAATATTTTTCCATTATGGAATACAGAGGTGTGAATATAGCCTGAAGTCTGCTCACTGAATGTTAAGCATTCACAGTATCATCAAGTACATCAAGAAATAAGGTTCAAGTATATTCTAGCAATTATGACTGTGTACAATGTAAAAACATTAATTTTTTTTTTTTTAGGAGCTGCGGAAGAACACCAACACATCAAATTTTTTCTCTTTACTGCGGGTATTAAATGTCACCTTGACTATGTAATAGTTAAAGTTTATCTAAAGTTTTTTTTTGACTGAAAAGAGTAGTGAGGGCTTTGGACCTGACAGTTATTTTTTATTAGCTGTCTTTGTTACCCACTGAGGAAATTTACCCACTTAGCAATAGAGGGGAAATCTTTCAAATGGGATACATGTTCCAGTAAGAACTGTCTAAGAGGAGATTTCCCTCACTTTGAAGAGATTTCCTCTAACTTCCTGTTATCTTCACTAGATGGCAAATCAAGGGAGAACTCCACATTTGGACAGAGATGACAAATTCTGACAGGGTTATAAAGCTGAACTCTGGGATCCTGCCCACTTTTATGTCTGAATAAAATCACTTTACAATTTTTTCTAATTAATGCCTTACTCTTAAAAAAAAAACAACTTGATTTTATTCCCTATGACGTTATTGTTTTTGTCTTTGTTCCTGGGTGTCGGTTGAAAGGATGTATGCTAGAGTTGTGCGTCTACTCTGTCCACTAAAAAAAAAAAATCAGCTTTAGATATATTTTAAAGTATGACCACAAAAGGTTAATGTACAAGGGTTTGTCCCTGCGATCTATGCGTTGATGTGATGCTATTCTGGCATAGGAGTAGAAGAATAGACCAACTTTTCCAGCATAGACACTTTTACCCAGATTTAGTTAGTCTTGTTAACCAAACTCTAGGAACCAAAATTAAGTAGACTAGGGTCCTTATTCTAATCTACACCTACAACAAGATGTCCTTGTTTTTCCATTTACACGTGTAAAGAAAAACATTTCCAGACAATGCAGAACTCCTATTTGTGAGAAGATATATACATGTGTATAAAAATGTTATAGTTGTACATAGAAACATGTTGTCATTTATCTTCTGTAGGTAAATTTTATTAATGAACTTTCAACACCTGGTCCTTTCACTGTGTTTGTTCCCACCAATGATGCTTTGAAGAATGAACAACAGGTAAGTTGAAATGACATTTTCAGCAATATGACTGCATATTTACAGTATATGTGTCCATCATGGTTTTTCTATTAACTTGTTTTGTTTACTTTGCAGACAAGCGAGTGGACTAGTACTGGGGTGATGGAGCAGGTTATTTTTTATCACATTGTGGCCTGTGCTCAGCTCACTAAGGAAGATCTCTCAACAGTGAAATTGTTTACTTCCCTGCAGGGCGAAACCGTGACAGTGACATCTTCCCAGGTAATGAGTCTGCAGGTCCCCATGCCGGGACTTAGCCTGAACTGTGTGCAGCATATCAGCTTGTAGTTCTGATCACACTATATCATGTGGGAGCAAGCATTGTCACCAGGGTTGTATTTACTATGATTGCACTTTACAACTTGTGATAATTGTTTTCATATTTTGTTTTCCTCTTCTGACTATGTTTGGATATTTGTGGCTAAATTTAGGTAGGGAACTGCAGCAGTAAGGTGGTGCAGAAGGCTCACTATAGTTCAAGAAACATTTCTCTTGTTGGTAATCTGTACAGTTGAAAAGTAACTCTGCACCTGGATTCCTCCATGTCTGGGAACCATGGACACAACTCCACCACCCTGACATAGCCGTGTCTAGTTTATGCGGCATATAAGAATATTATATTGGGTTTGAGAGACTATTAACCTCTAAAGGGATTCGTAACATTAATGATCAGCTGTTTTTTGCGTTACTTTGGGAGTGGTGGTGAGGCTGCGCGATCCCCTTCTATTTTCTTACCTTTTTGTACTTTTCTTGCTTTCTCCCTTCTCTTTCTTTTTGAGACTTAATATTACTATATTTCTTGAACCACACCGACAAGGATAATTATTTATCTCGACTATGAAGGAATTGGTGTTATTTACCCATAAGGTTGTTTTTTTCACCTAACTTTTCTGGATGTTTTTACTAGTCCTATTGCTCAGGATGTACATATAGACCATCTGATGTGTTCCTTGTTATAACTATCTGGGCACCTCTATCTAATGTAATGTTTGTAGTACATGGTCCCTTTATTTTTTTTTGTTTTTTTTTATGTTTGTATTTTTTCTATTGGAAAACATAATAAAAACTTTGTCTGCTTCATATGCAGAGCTACTTTTCCATTTCAGTGTTTAAAACCAATATATTGTTCTAAAATCAATTTTAGTCATCTGACTCAAGGAGCAGAGCTTGAACTAATAGGCTTCATCATTGAGGTGTGCCTAGGATAGCATAATGTCTAACTATGGCCCTTGTTGTTCCCCTATGGCAGGACATCCTGGAGAAGGCTATTTCTGGCACACCCCTGGTAAAATAGTACACAATAAAAACATGAATTAAAAAAAAAAGGATCACGCTAGGTTCTATGGCAAAGAAGCACGCATAGTTTTGATTTTTCATTTTGGGTTTTTTAAGTAAATTTTTTGTGTAATTGCAAAGCAATTTTAAATAAAGATCTTTTAGGTATCCTGCATCATTAAAGGTAAATTTTAATATTGTGCATGAATCCTCTTTAAGCACATTTGCTTAGGTGATGGGTATGGTTTCATTTAAAAGATCATTCTTCTTTTCTTTTCCAGAATACTTTACTCCTAAATGGAGATGCCAAATTTGCATCAGAAGACATGATTGTCTTAACTAATGGCATAGTGCACCTAATTGATAAAGTTATTGCTCCTAAGAAAATGCAACAGAGACCTGCTACGACATATGTAAGCACTGATATTTTTTTTGCTGTGTGTAAGTTGTGCAGAATGAGCTCATCTGCCAAGTATGAGAATCTGGATAAGGTGGATTTATGGGAAGCAGAAATATCCACTGTGAATTTCAATGCTGTCTTCACCCATCCAAGGCAGATGTTTGAATGAAGTTTTGTGAGCCTTTTTTTTATTGCAACAACTTGGTGACATTATGTTGTTTTTCCTGTCCCCACGAGCAAGTAAAGGATGCAAATTTAACACCATGGGGCTAATTTAGAAAAGCCCCGTCCAGCGTATAACTGGGTGAACGCCATTCACACAACATTACTGTTGCTAGATGGAGCCAAGGAGCATAGGAATGCTTCTCGGCTCCATCTAGTGGCTCTAACGCTGTGTGAACAGCATTCACCCATCTATACTCTGGGCAAACCTGTTATATATAGATGTATTAAAGAAACATAAATCTCTAATACACACTTTTGTTCTACAAACTAATAAACACATTTCACAGAACTACTTTTTTTAGTAACCTAGTCTAAGGTTTTAACTGAAAGCATAAAACTACCCATGCTATAAAATGGCTGATTTCCATTTAGCGTGTGGAAGATTCCTACTGTCTGATTGGTTTGTCATTTAAAAATACAGTATAACAAGGCCTTCCAGACCTGTTGAGCCATTTTTTTCCATTAAGATAGAGTAGGAAATATGAAAACACCTGTCAGTTTTTTGTTATCTGTATCTCATTGAGGCACTTTCCTTTTACTTTCTGTCCTGCAGAGACAACTGGAAGTTTGAGGAAATCTCCTCTTAGACAGTTATCACAGGAACACGTGTCTTCATTGGAAGATTTCCCTTCCTCCTGATTCCTGTTCTGGTGATAGCACAAAATGTTGGACATCCCCTTGCTTTCAGTCATGGTAATAGTGGTCACCAGGACAAATAGACTGGGTGTAGCTCCCTAATGGGGGCACAAACCAATAATTCTGAAAAGGTTTCTAACCACTCTCACCCTTCATATGAAACGGGGAAAAAAAAGGTTTGGCTTTAGATATACTTGAATTTGTTGACTGGGGCATTCATATCAATATAAGATGCATTAAACCCCTTTTTATGATTTCCTGCTACTTTTGGCACAGGTTGCTCTGCATATTTTGTGCAACTCCTGAAGCAAAATACATTTTAGACTGCATTTTTATTGTTAGCGCTTCATTAATCCTAATTAATATGGAATAAAATTACACGGATGAATGATAAAGAAAATGTTGCTTATTAACTTGTGGACTCCAGTTTGCGAGCATTGTTTGTTTCATTGAGGACCTCTAATGGGACACTAAGTTTCTGTATAACTGGGGATTAGAAAAGGTTGTATAGCACAATATTGCCAATGCTACCTCTCATGTATGAAAATGCCTGGTGTTAGGGGCAAGGCTTTTATTACTCAGGGCTCAGTCTAATAAAGAGGTATGAATGATGATTTGTAACATTTTATAGTAGTAGTGTAAGTCATACGCCTATCATTTTATTCTCATCCTAAGCACTGCAAAGTCTACATTATCAGACCTTCTTGAAAAGAGTACTAGTTTTTTAGTGCAACCAATCAGAATTCATTCTGCACTATCAGGTCCGCAATCTGACGGATTCTGAGTGTTTGTTGTAATTTTGCATTTGAGAATAAACACTGATGTAAATACGGCCATGCATGTTCATGTTCAGTGAAGTCCTACTCATTTTTATAGCAGGTACTACCCCACCACAACATACATATGGAAACAGTGTGTGAAATGTTAATTCATGTGCTCAAGTGTCACATGTCACAGTTATAATAATGGTTCCAGATTGTGACTCATATAAAGCAGCAAAATGGTTACTTTTGCAAAAGATCCTAGGGATCTAGAATGTATGGGGCTGTACAGGGTCCACTTTCTGGCTATTATTGAAGTAAGGGACTAGTTTACCTTTCAGGATTTGGCTTGGTTTGACTTTCCCCCTTGAAAAACATCTGAGTATGAAATTGTGGTGAATACAGCTCTATTTGTAATATATTTGGGCTTTTTATTTGATGCTGCATGTCAAGATCATAGATTGTACTGAGATATACAGTTTGTAGTTATGTCAAGAGAACTGCTGCCCTGGAAGGGCTGATCATAAATGTTTGAGATCTGCTATTTCATTATTGTAGTGCATGTGGCCAGATGTGGACCTCTTAGTATAGCCCCCTATTATGTTACTCCCCTGTAGTATGTGTCTGAGAAGGGTAAAACCTGGATGCTGCCCTGTCAATACCTGTTTTTTGTAATGAGATATATGCTAACCAGAATCTCTAAGACAGCAGATGTTATTGTCTGTGAAAAGTTAAAAGTGTTATATCCCTCCCAATCATCATTTCTGGATGAATGTAAAAAAAGTGTATCGCTCTTCATGTCTGATTCTGTCATATAACAGAAGCTAGTTGACTGGCGGGAAGGGAACACTAAGCAGTAGCAATAAACATTGTGTGCAAAGCTATTATAATATACAGGCATCACCTGGGCCAGCATAAGTAATCCCAAGGATGCCAATTTGGTGTTTTATATATTTGTTTTTTGGTATTTTCTTGTATTTATGTTGATTTTTTTATGTACTTAATTTTATTTATGTATAAATACATTTTATGTTTTTATGAGGTGTGAATATGGAAACATCATTGTAGCACCTGAAAAGTCCTGTTTGTACATTTTGGTTTTACTTTGGGGTTATTTTATTCTTGCCTTTTACCACTTTAAAGTTTAATGAAAGATAAGAATTGTAGTAATCCATTGGTGATCATTAAAGCTGACTATAATGCTGAGATTTTCTTGACTTAGGGCAGGAAAACCAAGGCATGGCATATAATGTGCAACCCATACATGTGCAATTTTATGCCTAAACAATATTTGCTCAAGTTAAAAAAAAAACTGTCTAATTATTACGTTCTATATGAGTGAGTCAGATTTGATTTTAACATTTAGGCAGTACAGTGAATACTCTTACTGCTTACTGTGTAATGTGGGGGTGTGATGACTCAGCTACGCACAAAGCTCTCAGATATGACTAACAATGACCGTATTATTTTTCTGAAGGTACAGCCTTGGTTCTCTTTACGTACTGCACTCATTTCACAATGTAAACATCTTTATTAGCTTTTCAAATAGGTGAAAGGTTAGGTATTGCCTTAGAGGTTGGGAGTATTAGGTCTCCTCCACTGAAAACTAGTATATAGATTCTCACCTGTATTTATAATACTTCTGATGTTCTTTTCAGGATAGCCTCAAAAATGTTGCAGAATCGAATGGCTACAGTGCAATCTTCAAATTACTACAGGTACATTATTTATTAGTTCTCTGTTATACGGGCTCAAATCACATTTAAAAGCAAATTAATAGAAATGTGAAGATTTGTGGTCTCTGTGTAAGGTGAACAGTTCATTCAAATAGAGAGGCCACTCAATATCCTCAATGGTGTTGCCTTCTGTCAAAGTGTAGTGTGTTTATAATTTTTGATTTGTATTAGTTTTCTGAGATTTCGATGGGGACATTTCTCCACTCTTCCTGTTCTGATCACAACATTAATGCCAGCAAGTGATGATAAATCTGCAACCGTACATAGGTAACAACAAAAAGCTTACAGTGGGTTCTAACCTTCCCTTACTTTAATAAAAACAATCTCCACAAAGATGTCCAGAACAACATTAAGAGGTCTTACTGCTTCACTATTCTATCCAAAACTTGAAAAAAAAAGTTTTGACTAATGATACACATTAATCTGTCTTCCTTGTGAGACTATGTTCACTACTGTTTTATAAATAGGTGATAACACTTATAACAAATCCCTGTGAGCAGACTGTCATTTGAATACAGAATTATAGATTCAGTCACCTATTTTGGAAAAAAGTGCCACACCAAAGCGTTTTGATTGTGTGACGTTTCGCTTCAAATAGTGCATTAAGGATGCATCCACATGCTTAAATATATGCCCACTTTTATTAAAAGAAGGTTTACAAATACTAACACAATTGCCATCGCCTGGGATATTCAAAATTTCTCTTGACAAAAATAAACCTAAATTCAGCCTCTCTTGCAGCACCGTTTTTCTGGCCTTAATCCCCAGACCCTTATTTATGTCCTCCAAACAGTCTCACACTGTGCTAACTAGGGATGCACCAATAGCGATACTAGTTTCGGTACCGAAACTGAGTATTTGAGCGAATACGATACTTATCCCAATACCGGAAGCGTCCTGATTGACCGGGAAGCTGGTTCCATGCTCCCTCATCACCAGGAAGCATGGATCAGGCTTCCCGCCCAATCAGGAAGCCAGACGGCGTGTAATGACTTGCTGCCCGGCTTCCTGATTGGTCAGGAAGCCGGGTGGCGAGTCATTACCCGCCCCCGGCTTCCTGATTAGCCAGAAAGCCGGCTCCATGCTTTCTCATCACCAAATGACGAGGAAGCATGGAGCCGGCTAATCAGGAAGCCGGCAGGAAAGTCATTACACGCAGCCCGGCTTCCCGGCTAGTCAGGAAGCTGGGTGGCATGTCATTACACGCCGCCCAGTTTCCTTAATGGGACTTCCGGTATTGGTATTTGATATTGGCGAGTTAAAAAAAAATATCGATACTCGTACTCGATACCAAAAAAACGGGATCGGTACATCCCTAGCGCTAACCTACACGCTTGGCATGCATCTTGCAGCTCCCTGCTGCACTGGACTCCACTCTGCCCAGGAGTAAGGAGGGCTCCACTCAGGAGTCAGAGACCTCCCCTGTCTCCCAGGTGGAGCCTTGAACAATCACCAGTACCTTTACCTTAAGGGATGTGCATAGCTGCACAATCAACAGGTGCTGGTCTCTACTAAAACATGGACCCATGATTGGAGGCTTCATCCCACCCAAGTCTATCTAAAGCCTCTCTAAAGCCTCCGGGTTTCTGAACCATGACCAGGTTTTATCACTGCTGGAGAAAACGGAAAAGCCAGTTTTATCCATCTGTAATATGTCTTCCGGAGCTTCTCAACCTGGCGGGGTGAGAACCTGGGTGTCCTTTAGACCTTATTTTACTGTAAACAGGCTCAGCACTGTCACAGCTGTAACATGTTTCTAAAAGGAAATCTGCACTGAAAGAAATACAGTGACTGTTACTGCTGGCCTTCTTCTGGAAATGCTAATTGCATGGCTGTCTCTAGCTTCAATAATTTGAGCCATGGACTTAGAACAAGCATCTAGTACTAGAAAGTCAAAGTAAAGACAGATCTCCTGATCTTCATATTGATTTCAAGTCCAGTGTGGACCAGTGTGTTAGACAGGGAGCTAAAAATGTTTCACGTCTTCCAGCATCAGCTTCCTTTGATACTCTAAGCATTTAGTCACATGACATTTCAGAAGTGCAAGGAAGTTGGTACTGGATCTCTTGCCACATGGAGAAGATGGTGTTTGGACTTTAAGAATTATTCTTATTATAATCAGTGTTTGAATGTATGCTCTTTTATCATTTGAAAGTGCACACACTTTCACACACAATATCTGAGGGGAAACAATAGTCATAGGTGAAAAACTCCAAACTGGCCTATCAACTGGTCTCTCACGAACAGATGTGGTTGTCTGTTGGTTCCCATAAAAATAACAATTGTTTCCCATTCCAGCTGAAATTGACTGGATTGGCCAATGATCACCATATATTTATGGATATTTTAAAGTCTATTTTGTAAGGTGAAATGTGGTATTGTTGTGCTGACCTGTAACAAAGGGTTGAAATAAAGCAGGGGGCCCCTCTAAATTGTTCCATAAAGAGATGATGAATCTCGCACCGTTTTTGAAATTCTTCTAGGAAATTGTTACTTTAATCTATTTTGTTTCATTAAATGCACTCTAAATTCAACTGTACTGTTTCAGTTTCAGTACTGTAGCAGTTTCTTTTTACTTTTGCTTTACTAGAGTGTAAAATATATGTTTTCCATATTGTTATTAATGAGTATACTATTTAATTTAAAACAAATATGAAAAATTTAGATTTTTGTAAGTAGCACAGAAATTATGCTGCTGGTTCTGTTTATTGTATCTTGTGTTGTATTGCTACACTGGATTGGAGAAGGCTGGTTATAACCAGCAGCTCCTCCAGTAAACCAGCTTAATGACCTAAGGGGCTGAAAGAGCTGTAAAAGATTACCTAACAGAAAAACAATTTCAGGCTGCAGCCCGAAAAGCTCCACTTTAACGATAAACAAAAGAGATTATTATAGAACTGCATTCTTGTCAATATAGATACAGATCAGCCCTGGGTTTTATACACGTATTTCATGATGACATAGTGGTTTACAGGACATGGTGGTTATTTACAGTCTACAATGCAAAATGCTATCTGGAAAGTCCAGTAACTCATAGCAACCAATAAGGATTCACTTTACCAAAGTCAGACCAGTACATGATGGATTCTTTCTGGCTGCCATGATACCATAGTGCCATTATTGCTTTGCTCCTTGCATTGTACTATTCAATAAGGCTGAAGACCAACTATAAATCATTCCTGTGGAGACAATGATGTCAAGTATTGCAATAATGCTTTGAAATTATTGCTCAACGTCTTTTAGTTCAAATAAAGCCAGACCATAAATATATGTAAACGTTTACTAAATATAGTTGACATATGGAAAATAGAGGTCTATTTCTCATATGTGGATTGATTTCACATTCCGTCTTTTATTTGTTTTATTTGCCTGCATGGAATATAATGTAATTACATGTTTTTATTGTTGTTCTATGTTTTTCAGGACAATGAGCTAATTAAACTTATTGATGATCCTGTCCATCAACCAGTAACATTGTTCCTGCCAACAGATGAGGCATTAAAAAGCCTACCCCAGGAGCAAAGTGATTTCCTTTACAATAATCAAAACAAAGATAAGCTGGCACAATATTTGAAGTATCACATTGTTAGAGATGCCAGGGTAAGGCACAGATATTTTTCGTTTAATCTATAGAGAATGTCAAAGTGTGTTTTAGCACTTATTCACGTCTGCATTAAGAGGGAACATGACTTGTCTTTCCAGTGCAAAGCACCTTATGGAAGAGCAGCATTGTCACTCTAGAGCAGGAAGTTTGTTAGGACTACATGCTAAACAGAAATGGCAACAATAGTACTAATAGATGTATAACTAGCTTTCAAAGGGCTTTGTACAGTACAATTTCTGATCAGAGGTAGGACTACATAACACCTCCTCATCAGCGTATCATAGGTGAGAGGTGTTCTCTAGTCCACAGAGAGCAAAGAACAATGATGTTAACAGTAGAGATAGCAGAGCATAGGAAGTTATCAACGCACTGTATTTCTCAAAGGATCAACAGGTATGTTTTGCACATTTCAAACTGTTATAACAAAACACTTTCAATTATATAGTTAACAGACCAAAAAGAAACAAATAAGAGAAGTTCATCATTAGGGTTTACATACACTTTAAGTGCACTTGATCTGTTGTCAACAAGCTACTTTTGCAGCCAAGTGTGTGGAGAGATGCCTGCTCAGTCAAGATGTGGCCTGCTAAGCTTGTCAGTCAAACAGGCTCAGAAACATTTTCTTTGTATTAATAAAAATATAAGCTTAAAGTTTTACCAATTTGAGAACCACTTTAATATAAGTCTGTGGGGCCACGAGAGGCCCTATAGCTTGACAGGATGCACACAGGGGACTTCTTGAAGAACGTCTCCCATCGAGGTTTCACCTGTCTTTCTACAAGTGTGTGTATGTACATACATACATATATGTATGTACATGTACATACACAGTGTGTATATATATATTTTATATTTTTTTTTATTTCCCGTGAGGAACTATCTGCGATACATTAGGATGGAAAGGCTCCCTTCCTTCAACTGAATCCATGTATTCAAAATATTTCTGTTGTATGTGTTGACACTTCTATTGATGTTTAATATTTGTTTATCAATTGACACAGGTTACAACCAATAGCCTCCTGAATAAAGAATCAATAAAGACACTTCAAGGTTCTGACCTTACTGTGAAATGTGGAGACAAGGACTCTACCACTGTAAGTAGCTCACATGTGAAAATGCCCTGCCAACCTTTATTCTGTGCCCTGAATTTACCAAATTCCTTATAGCCGTGCATATAAGCGGTTGGCTTGGGCACCCCATCCCTTGCAACTTCAAAAGGCATGTGGCCTGATATATAGTAAAGGAAGGGGGGTGGGCTGTATGCTCACTGCCTTCCCATTCCTGTCCACCTAGGCTGCATGCCTGAATACGGGCCTGGCTGGAATTTTAAGGAGAACCCCACGCCATTTTTTTCATTTTGTTTTAAAAGATGGTAAGACATAAAAAAGCTTGAGGTTCCCTTTAAAATGATTGTTATGCTAATGTTAAAATGCATGTATTTTAAAATATTTTAAGACCTTATTTTACAGACATTGATAAGCACAGCAGTGGAACAATGATTATTAGTTTCATAGTCACTGAAATATATACATATCTGACCAGATATTTTCATTTATTCAGGGGGACATTTTCCTGGACAACAGACAGTGCAAGATCGTCCAGCGACAGCTTTATTTTGATGGAGGAATAGCTTACGGCATAAACTGCCTCCTTACACCTCTTAGTTTGGGTGGACGGTGTGACAGCTTAGTTACTATGCAGATGTCCGTAAGTTTCACTTTACTGTTGTAATAATCTGCAATAGTGCACATTATTAAGTAGAATTTGATTTTGAGGGGAAGGGTCAGATCATCTGTCATTTTGTATTGCTGTGTCTACATTGAGTCCCCATAACAGAAAATTTGAAGAATCTCTCCAGTACGGATTGAGCGACCAATTAAAGCACTTTTATTAGATGCCTATGAAAGGGTTAGCACCTCAGGTATTTCTTGCTGTCTCCACTTACTAAGGAGTTTGTTTACATTCTGTCCTGTGGAAAGGAAGTGGTAGAAAATCTCCCCAAATGCCACAATCACAGCAACAAAATATAACAGAGGCTCTAACACTTCTCTACTCTATTGAGAAAGTTTTAACTGGAGTTCTGCTTTAACATTCTCCTCCTTATCATTCTTTTTTGTCTCCTTATATTTTGTGTAACACTTCTGTCTGTATATTTAACAGGGTGAGTGTGGTATGTGTTTTAACGTTCCAAAGTGCCCATCGGGAAGCAAGCCCAAGGTAAAGCAACCATAAATGTTATATGTGTAAAGTATCAGAATTGCAAAAACACATAGCCAATTGTGACAATATAATAGCAACTGACTTTTTGCTGCCCGCTTATTTGAATGATTGCCCATTTGTTGCCCACATATTGTAGCAACAAACCAGCAATCATGCCAATATACAGGAACTCTCCCAGCACCAATTCGGAGAACCTCCTACCCCAAGCAACAATTCATACCTCCAGCAAAAATCTCCCTCTCTACCTCCCAGAAAAAAAAATCAACTTCTTCTCACCATCAAAAATCTCCCCATGGCAAAAATCTCTCCCTACACAAAGAAACTTAGCAGACCTCAGAGCAGATTTAGAACAGTGCCTCCCAGGCTTCCCCACAGCTTTGTTTCATAGGACACATAAGAGCCCCATGGACCAGCCTGAATGAGCTTCCCTCACCTCTACCTCAGGTGCAGTGCAGCACATTACCGCTATGCAGGTGCACCTGTAGAACCGTGGGCAACACTACCCACAGCTTTGCAGGGATCCTGGCACAGCAGTAATGTTAGGGGGCAGCTGCCACCTGGCTGTGCCTACAGCTGTACAACATGCCACAGCTGGCCATATCCAGGGCTGACAACACCTCTCCCCTCCCCACCACCCTAGGTATGCCACTGACATGCTGTGAAGATAGACATGGCCCTGGTCAAAGAATAAACTGTAACACATCTTCTTACCAGTCTTTAAAGTGTATATGCAATATATGTTACTGATAAAGCCAAGTATATAACTTGTATTTAATATCTATTGTACAGGGTGGGAAAACCAAATGTCAGTATGAGCTAAGCTCTAGGCACAGTATTCAGGGCTGTCGTCAGGAATGTTACATGGTTCTCTCGATGTCCAAATGCTGCAAAGGATACTATGGAAGAGATTGCCAAGGTATGTGTTGACATTAATTCCAGCCATTCACATTTCTTTCTGGTCAATGAGTAGAAGCTGGGTCATATTTAATGGTGTCCCCATGTACTGCTAATTATAAATACTCACCACTGGCATCTCTAACTAGTCAGTGAATACAATTCTTCACAAGCTTTCCAGTAAACACAGGAATATTTCAGTGTAAAACCAGATACCCATCCATTTATGCATTGGCTTTTTTACATGCTGATTTTCTTTCGTAGATGTTAAAATATGAGAAATAATATAACAGCAAGGCAAGCATGAGATAGAGATTGTAGCTAGAGATTATACAGTTTTGGTAATCCACATTGAGCAGGATCTGTCCAGAGATGTCACAAATAACTTAACAAGGACACCTCCTTTAACAATGTCTTGACAGATTTGTCTCTTCGTCTGACATTGGTTCCTATGCTGTAGCCTACCTACTTGAGCTTGAGTACATTAATGTTTTCAGGACTGATAGGGCTTGCTTTTAGTGCGATACATTGATCATTGTGACTGAAGTGGAATACAGAGCTCATTCTATTGGCTAATCAACAAAGCTCTACATTTAATTCTATAACAAAACATTGAACAGCAGGCATGTAAAAAAACATGACAATTACATAAAAAATGTAAAATTAAATTAAAAAGCAAACCTGTGCTTGTCCCATTCTGGACAACTCAACAGGTTTGATGCCTCATATACCCCCAGCATATGCTTACCTTTCCTTCACTCCCCAATCCATTTGTTCAGCACTGGGCCCCAAAAGAAATACCCAGTGTATGTGTATGGAGGAGCATGTGACTCACTCCATATGGGCCAATCAACACTATCACAACAGTCATCCAAAGCCCTGTGTAAGCCATAACGCCAGCACATTTATGCTTATGCAGGGCTAACCCTTCATTTCCAATGACTTATGGAGCAGCAAATGAGCACAAGGAAGGTAATTATATGCTGCTGGGGAAAGCGAAGTCAAATTGAACCTGTTTCTTTGTATGGGCAAAGCATGGGTTCACTTTAATGTAAATATTGTAATAAGTGTACTGAAAATGCACTATACTTTTCCTTTAAGGTAATATTAAATGTGGTTATACACATTTGTATCTCTTTTGTCTCTCAGTAAGCTTTAAGGTAATTTCATGTTTTTATTCTGCCAGCCTGTCCTGGGAGCCCTGAGACTCCATGTAACAAACATGGGACATGTGATGAAGGATACACTGGCACCGGTGAATGCAGATGCAGCCCTGAATTCAATGGAACGGCTTGTGAGCTATGCATGCCAGGGAGATTTGGACTGGACTGTAAACGTAGGTTTATGCTTTTATTTTTATTTGCACAAGATGTTGGATCTCTGAAGTGAGAACAAACATAAATATCAATTCACACTGCTTTGGTCCTCAAAGATTTCTGTATAAAGGTTGTGACCAAAATAATGGCGTTATCAATGACTGGTTACTTATTTAATAGAAGTAATTTATATTAGCAGGAAATGCTTTTCTAATTTATATACAGAATCACTCATTACCCTCTAAAAGAAGCTTGAAGATGCATTCCCTCCATGGTCTGGGCTTTTTAGATTAAAGAGACCCTGTCCCCATACTATAAATATCAACAATCTTCGCCTTAGAACTATATGTCAAATTACCTAGTTTCATGCATTTATTCTTTCTTTAATGTCAGATGACAATATGATATTGAACAGGGCTGATACTGCTGCTAAGCATTACCGTCTTGGATGTGATATTAGCAGCCCCAGGCAGACTCAGAGCAGTCACTAAAATGACGCTGTGTAGAATTCCCCTGCTATCATTTATTTATGTTTGAGCCTCACTGAATAGTCTCCTCATTGCAAAGATAATAAATCGCTGACCTTTCTTGAAATGTTTGCTAAGACGTAACTGTGCAGTCTCTTGCTGTCGTCCTACATTGCAGTAGGGATAGGAGCAGGGGTTAGCAGGCTCGGAGGATCGGGGGATTATAATTTATTTTTAACTTAGACAAAAACGAGCAGTTAACTCTTGCAGTGCTGGGGTAGCCCCACTGCAAGGGTTAATAAAATAATTGTCCTGCAGTTCTTCTTTAAGGTGCAATTCTATACCCCCTTGGTCCTTAATCGGTCAAAGGTAGATGCTGAAGAGGTAAACCACACAGCAGTTTCTTATAACAAAGCTTTGCATGTGTGTTCCTGGCTCTGCACACCTCTTGTGACCATTATTACAGGTTCTACCCTTATTTCACATTATGGAGAATACAACATAGTGATCTGTGTCACTGAAGGGTGGATGGGATACACAAAATTCCAGTTGGCCAGGAATGGAGTCAGGAATTTTGGCAGGATAATCTTGTTGTTAGTTTATTTTAAGGTATACAACTTAGATCATCAGGATCCACCTATGATTAAAATATTTGGTTTGGACTGATCCTTTAAGGCATTGAAGCCACTGGGTAAAGCATGACAGCTAAGCAACAAGCATTTTCAGATGGAGGTCAGCAATAGGCGCTCATATATTTCTCTTGACGTATTTTGTCACCAAGCCTGACTTATCTGTCAGTAACCAAAATGGCTTTTAATATGTGTGTGCCACTGCATGCCCGAGAGAAGTTTCTATATACAGTAAAAACAAGGTTAACACTCTGTGTTGTGTGCTCCTCATTCCCTTTCTACAAGTGAACAATGTAAATTGTGCAAGGTATATTATGCATTAATGAATGAGTTTTACTAAGCCAAGCCAACCATTTATGTCTTGTAGGCTGTGACTGCATGGAGAATGGGCAGTGTGACGAGGGCATCACTGGAACTGGGGAGTGTGCCTGTAACAGGGGATGGACTGGGAAACGCTGTGAAACGATATTAGGTTACTCTTAAATATTTGTCTGTCTTCATGCATTGAGGCTTTTTTGAAGTTGTTTCAGTATTGGGCATTGTTAGTATATCCTTTTCCTCTATTACCCATAGATTTGCCTCCTGTCTGCACACCTCCATGTTCAAAGGATGCTGTGTGTAAGAAAGATAAAACCTGTGAATGTAAGAACTTTTATGAAGGTGATGGAAGAACATGTAAAGGTAACCAGCCATATATTTAGACATGTCTATATTGTTTTGTTCGAGGTCTCACGTTACTACACATTATTAGAGGATATGATTTAAAAGGGTTTGCAAATCCAAAAACTGATAATACCTCAGGTACTTTTTAAGGATTAATATCTGTATAGCTATATATTTTCCCCCAACCTTATTTTCTGTACAGCTATTAATTTTTTCTCTGACATTATTCATGAAGCTCTCCATTACTGTTACTCATTGGGCTCCTCCTAGATCTGCCGTGTGTATGTGTATTTATATGAGAGAGATAGATGGGTAGTAATGGGTAGTAGTGTGAGAAGGGTTCTAATATGAAGTCGTCACTTAGTTTAAACCAGATCATCGTGGCATTATTATTATTAATAATAATATACATTTTCCTTTTCTTTTAGTGGTAAATCTTTGTAAGACAAATAATGGAGGCTGTGACAAGAATGCAAAGTGCTCACAAAGTGGTGTGAAACTGACTTGCAGCTGTCTGAAAGGATACAGTGGAGATGGAACTGTCTGTATACCCATTGACCGATGTGCTGATGGACTGAACGGCGGGTGCCATGAACATGCCATCTGCACCATGACTGGACCGGTATTGTCTGTTATTGTCATTTAATTTATTGACGGAAACTGGAGCTTAAAAAAATTATGCTTTTTAATAGTCCATAACATTACTGTGTTAAATATACAGTATAATTCAGTGTATGCCCCCGTTATGGCAAGGCAGAGTTCCTTTGAAAGGAATCTGACGTAAATGGCTAATTATTTACGGATAAAAAATATCCTTTTTAAAATATATATTTATGACTTATTTGAGCACTATAGATTATGTATGGCTTTTTTTGGGCCACTTTTGAATTGACTTGACATTGATAAATATACTATATATTCATAGTTTAAACAATTGGGTAGGTAACACAATTTATTGTTAGTACTAAAACAGTTCATCTATAAAAGCTTTGCCTGGCGTATATATAAATGAACCCCAAAGTGTCTCTATATGTAGTACATTTCTATATGGCAGAGTCATGGACTTATAAACATGATAAGCCCTAAACCACTGCAAATAATATATATAACACCCCCTGCCCCCTTTTCAAAAAAATCATGCCTAGCAATGAAGCAGCGCACACAGCGTACCGTGACGTACGCTGGGTCTTGCCAAAAAATGCTAACAGTGTTAGGGGCTTAAAGGGGCATGGTTTATAAAACCTAAGCCTACCCAATGCATACACAGCACACATTCTTACTGTTACAGTTTATTCAACCACAAAATAGGCTTTAATTACTGTTCCACAACCAAGAGTCTCACAGACACTGACAAACCTCAGTACAATCATTTATGATAAATTAAACTATTCTAATACATATACTTTTCTGCAGCCTACCTTAAAGACAAACTTCAGTAGTATATAATGTACATATTGTGCATTGTTCAGGAGTATGCCACATTAAGCTCACTGTGCAGAGCGCAGTAGTCATGAGTATGAAATCTACAATATAGTGCAAGGCTCAGGACTGCATAACACACAAAGTGCCGGCACCAGGAATATGTTATATTAAGCTCAATGTACAGAGTGCAGTAGTCAGGAGTACGAAATGTACACACACAGCTTACTAGCACACACAAGGGTGACTGCATAGCACTCTGCTTGAGAAAGGAGCCACTCTAAAACAGGAAGTCAGGACCAGTGCTCAAGGGATCAGCTGATTCTGCAGGAAACTAAAACTTTTAAAGGAGAACTATGGGCTTAGGGCTTTTCCCCATAGTTCTCCTAAGGGTAACGGGAGGACACAAACTAGCATCCTCCCATCACCCTAAGCTCAGTATACCGCCAGCTGTAGCTGAGACGCCGCAGCTGAAACGGATCCCGACACTTATGTCTGGATCCGCCCAGCTGCATGAGCGACAGCTGGCTCTGCCTATCTAGAGGCAGAGCCAGCTGTACCCGCCCCCTCCCCCGTCTGTTTCGCCAGTCAGCGCTGGAGGATCAGAGCGGGGAGGGGGGAATCCAGTCCCTCCTCTGTCACGGCTCTCTGCCGTGACAGGATCGAGAAGTGAGCGAACGCCGGTATGTGTTCGCTCACTTCCCGATCTACTGACAGTCTCATTGTCACAGGTCGGCAAGAACTATGAGGATGACTGAAAAGCACTCACCTCATAGTTCTCCTTTAAACGTCAAGGAGCAGCATTCATTGTAACTGATTTCATCAGCATTTGGACTAGCTTAATATCACTTTAAGTTCGATGTACAGAGTGCAGTAGTCAGGCGTATGAAATATACAACATAGTGTATATAGTGCAGGCCTCAGCAGTGTGTAATGCAGAGTGCAGGGATCAGGAGCATGTCACACAAAGGCCCGTGTACGAAATACAACCAAAAAGTGTCCGCTCCTACCAGTGCAAGCCCACATGCATTGTTGTTTTTTATTTAGTACTCTTCACAAGCATTCTATTTGCTGTCTTCGCAGGACAAATGTAAATGTGAATGTAAGGACCAATACATTGGAGATGGTGTGAACTGTGCACTGAAGCAACTGCCCATTGACCGATGTATGCAGGATAATGGGCAATGCAGCACGGATGCATTATGTGGCGATTTACACTTTCTAGGTGAGTAAGGATTAGATAAACTCGTTCCCATTAAAGATGCATTACCGTAGTAATGTATTATGGACGCTACATCCAAAATTTTGGCTCTACGCTTAGCATTTGTTTATCTTTTGCAGTTCCATATTTTGTTGTCAAAGCAGCTGGTTCTTACATATATATGTTCACTACCACCAACAGCGTCTTGACTAGTTTTTTCCTGATTAGTTTATAGCAGGCATGTCAAACTTAAATGAGACGGGCGAAATTGAGTGGAATTAAATGATAACTATACCCAAAAACAAAAATTGAATATTGCAGCTTACCAGTCCTTAGATGTGCTGCTGCATTCATTTTTTTAACGTTTGTTCAAGCCAAGAACCTTTTTGTCAAGTACAAAATATCCCTATTGATCTTGTCAGCAATGCAGTGTCCTTGACACTTACTATGAAAGCAAATCAATCTTATCTTTGTTCTGTAAACTACTAATACCATCATTCTTCATGTAATGGAAATGAAAAACAGCTCACATCCAGCCTGGGTGGAAATCCACCCTGCATGGCTACGATGGCTCCCTTTTATAGATACAATGGAGGAGTGAACATAGCCACCCATAGACAAGACATGCAAGATTACAAGGGGGAAAAAGAGAAAAACTAATTTCCATCGCTATGCAGGTTCATTTACCTGGGCGTGCAGGTCTGTACATCACTGAGATCAGCGTATTTTTGGGGTGTGCTGTGTTTACTTTCATCTGTGGATAGGAAGCCTGTACAAATCTATGATAGGCTGTGACTGTGCGTGTCTGCCTGCAGCTGTTCGCATGCAATCACCCAAGATGCGATTACTTGTGGATAGGAACATATACAGTATGAAAGGCTCTGGATTCTAACGGTCTGCATTTAGACTGCATCCAGCTGAAGTGGTTAAAAGGACTGTGAGGTGCAAAGAAGGAATGAGAGGGTTACATGCAGCCCCAGAAAACCACAGTGTGTCTTGCCTGGTTTATATGAAATGAATTAGATCAACTTGCACATTAACAGTATTTAGCAAAAATGTAGTTAAAATGGAAAAATCTAGTTGAGACGCAACATACATTTTCCTGAAAAAAGGGGATCCCTTGGCTCCCTTTGATAGCTTGTCATGTGGACAATGTTAAGACTTGGGGACTGACCTTCAGGGAAAACCAGCAAATCATTGGCTTTTTCTATTAAAAGACCTACCTGCCCTCAAAGACCAAATAATGAATGCCAATTGAACTGGTTTCTTGCTTTCACTCCCCAGGCAGAAGTCTCATTACTGCTACTACTTTACATCCTGCTACACTTTGCTGATTTGTTTTTAATGGTTTTTATAAACAAATTAGATTAGCTCAGTAAATATCTGTATATATGTCAGTGAACATTCTTTAGTTTTTTTATTTACAAGTAGAGTGTATTTTCAAATATATATCAGCTTCTATCTTTTATTTTTAAATCTTAACTGAGCAAACAGAATCAGCAGCAATTGCCCATGGCAACCAGCTTCTCTCTTCAGTCTGCTCCAGTTTTGATAAATTCCCCCCTAAGTTTTTACTGCATCTCCAACACAAGCTGAGAACATTGTAATATACTACTTGTCACATGGCACAGTTTAGTCAACTTTTCAAACAAGATGGATTAGGTTTAAAGCACAAGGTATTTTCTGATTATATTTTTCTCCTACAGATACAAAAGTTGGAGTTTTTCACTTACGTTCACCCAAAGGACAATACAAATACAATTACAGTGAAGCTACACAAGCTTGCAAAGATGAAGATGGGACTTTAGCCACATATAACCAACTAGCCTATGCTCAGGAGGTGACTTTATTAGAACGTACTGCAGATCATGCTAATTTGTCTTATTACTCTTAAATACATAGAGGGGAATTGATCAAAACTAGAGCAGCTGTGGATGGCAACCAATCAGCTTCTCTTTCATTTTTAAATCTTAACTGAACAAACTGAAAAGAGAAGTTGATTGGTTGCCATGCACAGCTGCTCCAGATTTTGTCTGCTCCAGTTTTGAGAAATACCCCCCATACTATATGTAAGGCATGCATGTAAAGAGTTAAAGAAACTTGAGCATGCCTCACACTGATTTGCCAATATTTGAAAAATAAGTGCATTATTGTTCCGGTTTTTTTTTACATTCGTCACAGGCTAACTACCATATGTGTGCTGCTGGGTGGCTGGATGGAGCAAGAGTGGGATATCCTACGGCATTCCCTAATCCTAACTGTGGCTCTGGATATGTTGGCATTGTGGACTATGGGGTTCGTGTTAACATGTCTGAGACATGGGATGTTTTCTGTTACAGATATAAAGGTATATCAACCTATATATATGTCTACACATCCTGCCATATTTTACTGTGAATATGTGGTCCCGTTGATGGGATGTTTTCTGTGGAACTGGATGTGTTGAAAAGAGAAGACACATACTTTTTTTAGATCTCTATCTAACCATTAGGTAAACAATACAGGCTACATTTTAAAACCTACTTTGCCAGTGGCCTTCATTTAGATTTATTATTTTCTACATTTGGATGGTGCCCACACATTTGATTTACAGTATATTGGCACAGTACAAAAGAACCATTTACATCTATCCCTGTCACATGAAAGCTTACAATCTAATGTGTTTACTGTGGTCATATAAACATGTGTTCTTGGATCACTTAAAGTGAACTGGTGCTTTGCCCATGCAGGATTCAATTAACGCCGCCCCCAACAGCAGCTAATACTTGCTTTCTGCTCACTTCCCAGCTGCTCCGTTTAGCTGCCAGGAGTAAAGAGAGTGATTCTTCTATAAGTTCCAAGCCACAACTTGAAGCTTATACAAGGCAGAGGACTCTATTCACCACCTCGTGTGACAGCATTGGATGCCAGAGTGGTCAAACGTTAAGTGCCAGTGCTGTTACATGCGAGGAACATGTGGCTCAAGCAACCTGGATGTACCAGGTATGCGTCTTTGTTTCCAGCAATCAGAGTGGCAGGGGAGTAAAGGTAAGTTCAGTATTCCTGCTTTTGGACGAACTATTAGAAGTGAACCTGCTGCTTTGACCTCTATAGAATTCTTCCTGTGAACAGTAGAAAAACATAAACCTGGATGCAAGTAGGATTCTGGATTGTCAGAATGCTAAGCATTGTTATGCTGCAGATTGTTAAACAGTGAGTCAACATTCTCATATATGTGTGAAGGCAGGCTGTCAAACAAGCTATCTATAACTGAATCTTCTTTTATGCCACTCTCTATATCATTTTGTTATTCTTCAGATGTGCAGTGTACCTGCAAGCCTGGCTATGTGGGAGATGGCTACACCTGCAACGGAAACCTGCTCCAAATGCTCATGTCTTTCCCCGAGTTCTCGTACTTCCTTTTGGTAGGTTGAGAAACAAATAAACTTTCTAAGAATACAAAAGAGAGCATGGGTTAATGAATAAAAGCAATTATTGTCGGGGATGATTTAATAAAACGGTTATAAATTGGGTAATAAATATTTTATTTTAGCTCTCAGAGCTAATAATAAGGAATTGAAATTGACATTTTGACACCGCATACCTAATTGCAGCAGTGCCTAGGTGAATAAGACAAATTGATAGTATAATTGCTTGACATTCATTTCTTCTTGCAGGAAATCTTCAAATATTCCAATTCATCAGCAAAAGGCAAAGAGTTTGTAAGCTACATTAGTGACTTGTCCATACAAGCGACCCTTTTTGTCCCCAGCAATGATGGCTTCAATGAAAATGTGGTAAATGGGCATCTTACGACGACTTACCAATGTGGAATCAGCTTTAACATTTTCTTTACCCAGAACTTCAAGCAAAGCAGGTTTTCTTTCTTATGCATAGTAAAGAAGGGATAAACTTATCAGGTTATCACTGTCAGCAACGGCACTCCCTCACTTCCTGTCCTTGTGACGATGTTCACCGAGGGATTCCATTTTAACTGGGACACATATAGCAATAAAAACAGTGGGAAAGGGCTGGCCATACATTCTGACTGTACGATCTTTGTACAATCCCCTTTTAGATTGCAAAGATTGTTTGACCTCCTAGCTTTGGTCAGTTTGTTTCAGATCATGTAGGCCCTTGCGCTACATGGTAGATCTAAAGCAGATTGTACAATCAACTATCAGAATGTATAGTGTAATGGTTAGCTTTAGAGGCTTTGTAAGGGAGATTTCTCTCACGTTCTCTCTGTATTACCATTGTCTCTGGGATGTACCCTGGCTTTTGCATTGCAGCAATATGCACATTACCACAATGTACAGTAGTGCAACATGCAGACAGTGCAATGTGGTGCTGTTCATTTTGATTGCTGCAGCAACACCATAACGCATGTTAATGCACTGCACAGATATGTATGGGGCCTTTAAGTAAATGTATATCAGAAATATCATCAGCACACCAGTGGATAGTGTTAAAAAATTAAGCATCTTTTATTCACGCATATTTGTCACATCAAAAATTGCAATAGCTATTTTTGATGTGACAAATATGTGTAAATAAAGGACGCTTTATTTTTGAACACTATCCACTGGTTTGCTGGTGACATTTCTGATATACATTGTAAACTGTGGCGCCATCTGCAGTCGCTTCAGCACCCATCTTTCAGTAAGGAGTGCAGTGGTTACCTACAGTTATGTTTTAAGTGAATGGAATCTCTCCAACAGGGACACAGATAGGGGAAAAAAGTTTATAATTATTCCCCATCCTATTCAATCCCAAAAGAAAAGGTTTTGGGTACACTTGAATGTCTGTCTGCAATCAAAATTGATTACTCTAATGATTCCAGGGACGAGATCTGCCCTCTGTAGGTTTATAATACAGACACGCCAGCTGCTAATGCACTCTGTTTATCCAATGGATCCAGTAGCATGGGGTGATTATAACATGTTGAATAACATGAAATGCAGTAAACAGTAATCAGCAGAACACAGGACCTTGATAGTGGGTAGATCTTAGAGCTGGAACAATTGCATTATTAAACTAGATTTATTTATAAATGCACTGAATTCTATGCAGCAAAAAGAGAAGTTACAAAGCTATGTGCATGGATTGGGTGCAGAGTAGGCCCAGTGTACAAACTATGGTGACAAATGTAATTTTAGTTTTGAAGCATATTTTGTGAGTTCCTTCTCTAGTGGTCGGTAGAACAGAATCTACTTTGGTCTCTTCATTAAAATCATCTACAGCAAGGTTATGCAAACTCTGTCCCTCCAGCTGTGTTGGAACTACTAATCCCATTAGGGATTTGCACGACTGACAGCCCGAGGCTAGATGCATGATGGTATTCGTACTTTCACCACAGCTGGAGAACCAGAGTTTGCCAAGCAGCAGTCTACAGTGTCAGAGTTAAGTAAGCACTTGATGAAGAGTTGTTTGGAGTAATACTACCCGTGACTCTTTGTTTTGTTACATATTGGTATAGAGGTCTTGATGGAGATGACTCTACATCTTTTATAAAATTATGCATTGACCATACATAGAAGTAGTCACAAATGGTGCAGTCCACACCTTTACAATGACCATGTATGTAAGTTATGCTAAAACTATTCTGCCGCCAAAGACATGGGGGAAGGTTTTGTTGCAGGCTGGCAGTAAACATGGCAGTCAAAATTTGTATGGTAGCTGTATTAGACCCACAGTGGTGGGGGATTTAGAAGGTATTCAACATGTGCACTCAAAGCATCTGTAGAAATAGTAGGGTACATTTTAACTTGACAGAATACAACGGTTAATATTCTTCATCTGCATAGTAGTATTGTCTTAATTATTTATTATTTCATTAATTTAATAGACTCTCTCTGGACGTGACATAGAATATCACCTTTCAAATGTCACTACACTATATTTTGGGGAACTAAGTAATGGAACATCACTCCAGACAAGGCTGGGTCACAAACTTCTTATTTTGTATGGTGACACTCCCTCGGATTCTCAGGTGAGGGAAACCTGTTTCTATAATACACAGACAATGACATTTCTAAAATGTAATCTGTTTCTACCTTCACCTTATATTTTTAATGGACCATATTTGCCATAATTACTAGCAGTGAATGCTATGACTTTCTCTCTTCGCTTTAGAATTGATATTTGTAAGAGTAAAGCAGGACTATCTAATCGATTCTAGTAGCTACCCTTTATACATTTAAAATACAGCCAGTTTCTGCAAAAATGACACAAATTCTAATTTATCAGCTGTGTACTAGATGATTCACTATGTACAGATTCGACTGCCTGTAATTCCTGCTCCTTTCATGTTTTGAAGGCTTTTTTTCTGAGCTCCACAACTCTTTGTTTATTGAGATCTGCGACGGTTCAGTGACCAGAAATAAAAAAATAAAATAAATGGTTGCTAGCAACACAATCTACAGGCTGTCAGATACTGCCATGACTAGCAACCGAATCAGTGCCATGTTTATTTAGAAATGCCTTACATTTTTGTTAGCAAGTAGCCGATATTGTTAAATTTTAACTAAAATATAAATGCTACTTTTGTATAAAACATTGTATTAAAATTAGGGATGCATCGATACCAAGTACAGTACCGATAATTTTCCAGCTCCAAGACTAGACTAGAGAAAAGTTAGGAGGCAGCTGTCATTTGTAAGGAGCACATGTATGATTTTGTTTTTATAAATATAAATAAAGGGATGCACCGATACCAGTTGTGCGAGTACAAGTGCCGATACTTGCCCAAGTACTCACACTACTGATACATTTTTGTTTATTGTCATGTGACAGTTTTTCTAAAACAATACAGACTAATGATTTCAGGACAGTGGTGGAGTGCCAGAGCCAGGTCCCAGCTAGAACTGCAGCAACCCTGGTAGTTCTCATGAAAATGCCAAGTATCGGTGCATCCCTAATGAAAATGGTACATCTTAAAGAAGAGCTTTACCCTTACCTTTAAAGTGACAACAAAGGCACCTTTAGAAATATTTAGCAATGGTAATCTACAAACAAATACTTCTTATAATTGCAGATTTTTTTACATTTATTTTTTTTGCATACCTTATTTCTCTTTTATCTCCCAGTCTTCTGACTGTGGCCATTTTAACTAAGGGCAGGTTACTATATCTCCATTAACTTCCTGGAACTCTGGCACATGTAACTAGGACATGTGACCATGCACATCATCCCAGGGGAGGGAAAAGCCTTTCTCTGAGATCTCATGAGATTACAGATGACATTTCCCAGCAATGCTCTGCTGATCTAACCTTCCCAGGAATTATTTGTGTTTAAGTAATGAATGAAAGATGATTTCCTATCAGCATGCAGAGCTGCATAGTGATGTTTTTTTTTTTGTAAAATGGGTAAAGAACCGCTTTAAAAACAAAATCTAGCATTTACGCTTATTGATAGATTTTCTGCACCAAGTTGACAACTAAATATATTACACAGTCTGAGGACAAGTTAAAAAACCATCCATCAAGTTCAATCTTAAAAGGAATAAACAAACTTCTAATGCAGAAGTTAGGCCTTTGATTTATATAGAAGGTCTTAATACTTAATGTTTTCTGATTGGTTTAGGACCAAACAAGATATGTAGGTGGAAAGCGTATAATACAGTGGGATTACATTGCTTCAAATGGAATAATACACATGATATCGGAACCACTGAAAGCCCCTCCTCAGAAATTAGTAAGTACAATATGAATCATGAATAAATAAAAAATAAATCAAAAGTGTCTGTGTGTAAATTCAGCTGAAATACAGGTTGGCTTTATACTGTCATAGTGATGTGTGCCATACATTAATCAAGCAAAACAAACGACAAACGCACTCAACAATTTGTCACCAGTTATACAGTAAGGTGCACACGAAATGGGCTTTAAACAGTAAAACAGTAGAAAGGTATCATTTCACACTCACAAACCAGCATGTAAAACAACATGTCTCACCAGTAAGGTTAATAACAGAGGTTTGGATACACGTCTTCTGCAGAGGATGTGAAAGCCGCACTGCCGCGCCAAGGCACCTCTTATAGTGCGGTCCTAACTCTAAACTATGAGAGTCTCCATCTTGGAGCACATGGGGGCAGAAGATTTCAAATTGGGTGCAGGTTTGTCAGGAGGAAGCCCAGCCTCCTTAAAAGCACAGAAACACACAAGGGATCCCGCACATCCCAATGGCAGCTGAGAAACCCCATGCGTCGCTGCACCAAATCGGTCAAGCAAAACCTCTGCCCCCATGTGCTCCAAGATGGAGACTCTCATAGTTTAGAGTTAGGACCGCACTATAAGAGGTGCCTTGGCGCGGCTGTGCGGCTTTCACATTCTCTGTAGAAGACGTGTATCCAAACCTCTGTTGTTATCCTTAGTGGTGAGACAAGTTGTTTTACATGCTGGTTTGTGAGTGTGCCATGATGCCTTTCTACTGCCATACATTAATAACATTTAGCACCACCAATCAGTGTCAGATGTGTCTTAGAAGTCTAAATCTGATCGGTGGCTATGGGAACAATAATTCCACTTCTTAGAAGGAAATACAATGATAAAGAAGGTGCGATGGAGCTTCCATGTGGAAAACAATATGTGTTATAATGTTATAACACGTTTTTGATGTCTGTAGCAACCATTAGGCCTCCAACTATATTCTCTGCGGCATATATTTGAAAAGAAAAAGGTACCTCATTGGTTGCCATCGACAACAAGAACATTTGTTATTGGCACCCTTAAAGGCACCTATGTACATCGAGAACTCTTCCCCTGCCTTATGAATTGTGGTAAATCTCCTATTGTCTTAATACTAATAAATACAGTTTAGTCTTACTCAGCAATGTCTCTATGTGACTAGGTCCTACATGCTGGCCACGGAGCAGGCATATTTTTCGGCATCGTCGTCATCATTGCTTCACTGGCATTAGCCGTATACGCCTATAAGAAATACAGCAGAAAGGATTTCCAGTTCCAACAGTTTCACGAGGTAACAATTACAAAGATATATCTAGAATACCATTTTGTTTTGTACATACCATTAATAACGTCCAAGCTCAGGACATTTCATGAAAACAGCACACTGTGATGTCTCTTGTAAATGTCAGAATGTGGTAAATAAAGATAGTGTGGTACTATAAAATGCCAATGCCAGCAGAGGAATGTAAAAATGAGGTGTCCGCGTTGTTTACTGGCAGGGATGAAGCCAGTCACTCACACAGATCCTTGTGACCCGAGTCACACAGCTTACTGAACCTGTGACTTCAGTACTGTAAATACCACCACAGGATATCCTACTGAAATAGGACATTCCTCGAAAATCATTATTAGTTTATGAATACATATGACATTGAATCACATTTAATGGCATCAGACAAGGCCTGAGTCGTTTAAATACAGAAACATATATATATATATCTGCTATTTTTATTACTGTTTATTCAGAGCCAAAATATTCTGCAATGGTTACCAGAGTAAACTGAACTGTTCACCTTAAACCTCCTGAAAAACGCTAACAGTCTAATGATCGTACAGACCTGCACTAGGGATTTTCAGCAAAATGACAGATTGTGCAGCTTGTGTTCTTAAATTTTCATTATCCAGAGAAAAAGGGGGTTAAGCATTAGGCACAAAGTAGAAATCCATGCCTCTCTATTCTAAAAATAGGAGGATCCTAACTTGTTTAATGTCCAAAGAGGATTGTTACTTCACTTAGGGCCCATTCAAACCTCTGCAGTGCAGGGTGTTGCTGCAATGCCACACACATTAGGTTGCCATTGATAATGGAGGGCATCTCAACACACTTTTAAGCACACCACAATGCATTAAATGCACTGTATCTAAAAAAATGCTAATGCATGGGCAACTCATTCATTTGCATGGGCTGGCTTAAGGCAACTCATGTGAACATGTGACAGTCAACGCAATGCTCCAGAATAGCACAGTGTGGTATTGTTCAACAATGATGTGTAAAAGCTGTAACTTTTAATCGATCTATTGACTTCATAATTTGCTATTCAACCTAATATAGAGCTCAACCGAAAAAGTATGCTGAAGATACCAAACAACAGGTGGAGTGCTGTGTTGGAGACATAAAGACAGGCAATCCAGCTGCTGCAGTCCATAAACTATCATTTACCTAATGGAAATTTAACAGTATAGGAAGATATGATATATAGAATATGATAATCAATTAATTTAAGAGAGAAACATGCATTGAATGCTAAGCTTGTTTTTGTGTCTCTGGTATCTCAGCCCCTTTAAAATATAAGTATTTTTTAAATGTACAGTTCCTTGAAAATGGGGTCTCTGATGGTATATTTCCCACCATGGATATTCAAAATGAAAGGCATAAGATTTAATAATTGCAAGATACCCTGATCCATGTGTACAATATGTCCTAGCCATATTTATTTCCCTAGCATATTATATTGTATTCATTATATGGATATTGTTGGTTTGCATAGATTTGTAATCAACAAAATAGACTTTATACTAAAAGCATACTGCTAATCATGGAACTCTAAAATGAACCTGTGCCCAGACCATGCACACTACAGTAATTACTCTGAACAAGCAGTCAAATCACTTTAAAACTTTGTGGCTATGACATTGAGGAGAAATTCACAATAGAGCCACTAAAAATAAGCTCCTCTCTCATCCAGCTTCACATGCTGGCTAGTCATCTGTCCACACAATTAAAAGTAAATAAAGGAGGAAATCAGTCATAGAGCAGGTTTTATATGGAAACACGTGTACTACTGAAATGTATAGGGTTATTCACAAAAGGGTGACGAGTTTGGAGAAGGCAGGAGAAGTGAACAATCTAGGACTACATAGCTGATTTCAAATCATTCTCCAACTCAGCTCACTTTCCAGTTCAGCTATGTTGTCCTAGATTGGTCACTTCTCCTGCCTTCTCCAAACCCTTCACCCTACTGTGAATAACCCTGTTAATGTGTGATAACATTTGCAGACTATGATTACTCTTCCTGTCCTACTTCCTGTTTGCACAACTTGAATGAATCAATGAATCTCCTTTTTCAAAAATAAAAAAATGTAAAAGAATGCTAGTTGCCTGACTGAGCGAATGGCTTTAAGACCATCACTGAACTAGATCACAAACTCAGTACTTAAAGTGACATTAAACCCTTAGATTTTTTTCACGTACACTAAACTGATGAGCGGTAAAAGCTTTTAAAGCGTCGCCTATGGCCAATTTTGGGTATGCTAGTTTTTTGCGATTTTGCGAGTGCGCGCAATTTTTACGCTTGACATGTTTGGTGTCTATTTACCCGACGTGACCCCATCTTTTATATTTTACCAAAAAAGTGGGTAATATTAGTTGTTTTATAGCCTAATGTAAAAAAAAAACGTTTTTTTCTCAAAATTTTCAGTAATTTCTCCTGAATATAGTAAAAAATAAAACCCGCAGTGGTGATTAAATACCACCAAAAGAAAGCTCTATCTGTCCCCAAAAAATGGTATAAAATTCATTTCAGTACAGCGTTGCGTGACGGAATAAATGTCAGTCAAATTACCGCAGCGCTGAATACTGAAAAATGGCCTGGCCAGGTAGGGGATCTAAACACCTGGTCTTCAAGCAGTTAAGCAACAGAGCCAGGCATTTTCAGGAGATAGCCATCTACATATTCCAGTACAAGTTTCCTTCAACTGCATAAATTAAAAAGACTGGTGATGTATTTTGTCAATGTGTGAATACTAAACAAAGATTTATTCTTAATACAGTATGAAGAAGATAAACCCTCTGTGTCAGTGTCGGAGTTTGACACATCACCATCATCAAACATTGCCAACCCCATGTATGAAAGTGCCGCAAAGGCCACCATTCCAGCTGAGCCCGCAGGGGAATTAGTTTATCATCCGTTTTCTGTAAGTTTCCAAAGCGATTTTATGTTTATGATGACTGATTTTTCATGTTTTTAACACAACAGTAAATTTCTCATTTAATGTTCATGCTGCCAAATCAGATGAGCCATGCTTTTTGTGAACTGGAAAATGTAAAGCATGAGTTGTCCGAGTGCATTATAGCAAGCTGCAAAAAAACAATTGCTTGACAAAAAAGGTTTTCTATTTTCTACTACAAAATAAGGACATAATGCAAATTCTGACCTTTGTATAAACAGGTCATACAGTGTAAATTCATGTGTAATCACTATTTCCACAGTGTCTGAACACCATTTTGTATGTGACCCGTGTTGTACTTAGCAGGCAGTGCAGGAAACCATGACACGCTGATGGCAAGAAAGAGATCATCTATTTAAAGACCCTCCTATTAAATTTCTGAATGCTTACAGGGCCTCATGCAGTGGGACACTTGCCATTTTGTCACAATGTCTGAAAGCTCCTTCCTAAATCAGCCAATATCCAAACACTGGATATGTAATAACATTTGTATTAAGGCAGACTTTTATTTTACTGCTGAACTCCAAGTACATATAAAAAACACAGATTATTGCAGCTCTGTAATCACTAATACATCATCAAATGCATTATTTAAATGCAAGCAGTATATGTATATACATTTGACCCTGTACAGCAGAGTTAGAGTGTGAGAGGAAGAAGCAGCACAAAGAGCCATTCAGTTCATATGCTGACAAGGTTGGTAAAGAAAGCAGAGTGGACAGTGGAAGGAGAAGCAGCACAGTGAGCTCACCTCTGTCAGTCAAAGGCTGGGGTAGGTCCAGGACAGAGGTAATGGGATGAAGGATCTGGCCAAACTGAGGACATCTCTGTGACAGAAAAAAAAAATCTCTGGACTGAAGGTGAATAATGCAGCAAGTGCTGTTTTAAAAAAATCTTTTTTAATGGGCTATTCATTTTTATTTTAGGAGTACCCCTTACTCATTCACATGGGAGAAGGCGGCATCTGGGTGCCCCCTTAATTAAAGAGGTACCCGAAGCAAATAAGCCCCCTTGCCCACAGACACCCACAACCACCGGGTCAGGGTTGTGGGGATGAGGCCCTTATCCCCATCAGCACGGGGACAAGGTGCTTTTCCAGGGGCCCTGCCAGGCCTATGCTTGGATCAAGGGTCTGGTATGGAATTTTAGGGGGGACCACACGTTTTTACCCTCAATTTTTGGGGGTGAGGTTCCTCCTTAACCTCCTACCAGATGTCCTGCCATTACCCTAAGGAGGACTATGGGGGAAAGCCCTGACCCCATAGTTCTCCTTTAAGGGCCTGCTATGACTTTTAGGGGGAACCCTACGCTTTAAAAAATTGGTCCCTCCTAAAGGGTCCGGTATTGTTTGGGAGGGGGAATTGCACAAAAAAAAAAAGTATTTTTGTTCTTTAGAAATGTCAGTTTTGCTGCAGCAGGTTCTATACATCCTACGGATCCGCCACTTCACAGGCAGGTTAAGGGAACCCCTCAGGCACAATATTTGAAGGAATTTTTATTTTTTATTCTTACCCTTTAAGTGATGTTAAAATCACTGCTCCTTACAAAACGGTATTTTGTTGTTTTCATTGATTCCTGTCCCATACACCTTTTATGGACAATAACTTGCATATAAGCCCTCTTATAGGGACATTATTTTTGAAAGTTCGACCTCCATTGACTTGCATTTGGTTCGAGTTCGTATTCGAACCTTTTGGCCGTTCTGGTGTTCGAATTTGAACCGAACACCTGGGAATCACTAGTGTAAATGTAATACAAGATGTTCACAGTGTGAATTACTCTGCAAACGTTTTACAAATACACCCCTTTGTCTTTTACACACCTACACACACCCACTCTCCATAAAAATAAAACATGAATGTTCAGTCATGGAACATTAGTGACTGTCTTGGCAAGTCTATGGGCACCCTAAAGTGGGGAAGGGACCTTTGTACAAGCACAAGGGAATATTTAAAGACTTTCTAAACACCCTTTGATAAAGTTTTACATGCAGCTTTGGGGGTGCTTTAGACAAAGCATACACAGAGCCAAATTCAGTAAAATGAAAATGTGGTTATTTGGGAAAAAAGTGTTGAGGAAAAACAAAAGATAGGAACCTCTACTGTTTTTGTTTGGCTATGTAAAGTGTGCCATATCAGGCCAATAGTGTGTAGAACGTTCTCCCTGTAGCATGCGATGTGTGTTCTTGTTCATGAATTCACACTTCTGCATGTGTTGCAGTGTATTTGATAACGCTCATTCCTTGATATGAATGGGTCCATATAGTATCCCTACCACACTAACCTACAGCACATATGTGAACATAGAAAAGAATGAGATTTCTGCTTGTACAGGATCTTCATGTAACAAAATATATGAGTTTTGCTGCTGCATCAAAACAGACAGGTGGGAATACAGAAGCACTATCTTGTATGAGCTGGTTGGAAAGGCTGTACAGTGGAAGAGACAGGACCAAGGGTTCAGAGGGAGAACTCAACCCGTGATTTAGGAAACAACCTTGGGATTTGTAGTGTCACCACAGCTGGAGGACCAGAGTTTGGCTACCCCTGACCTATATGATAACATGGGGGAAATAACACTGTGTTCTCTCAGAGACTAAGTAAAATATCTGCTTGGTTATATGGCATATTTTGTTACAAGAAGTGGCTTTATATATATATATATAATGTATTATTATACACACACACACACAAACAAAATTGGTTTCCTTTGGGGGGTTTTTTCCCCTGCTCCTAAAATATTTTATGCCGATTTGCTCTATTCTGTATGCAAGTTAGAATTTATAAGTCATAAACTACAGACATTGTATATGTATGTAATGGGATCTATAAAAAGTTTTATTGCACATGTGTTCTGATTCCCCTTTTAGGAGTCGGATGAGCAGCAGCTAGTAACCTTTGGCGGACTAACCAAATGAAAAAGAAACAGCTAATGTAGCATGACATTAAACAGTGACAGAAGTTTTCCTTGTAAAAGAAGACATTTGTAGTAAAGATCTGATGCCACTGACAGGAAAAAAAAAGACTATTTGCCACCTTTGTAATCTAATATTGTCAGACTCATTCATGTCTGAATGTTCAGTTTCTTGCCTCCAGAAAACCTGAGCCTTGCTCTGGGGCAGTTCATCAAATTACTGGCTCTTTTTGCTGTGAAATTGTAAATAAAACGTTTTAATGATTATATTTTCATGTCAGCCTGTCTTTCCCTGGGAACATTTTATAAATCACATGTTTATTTAGTATAAGATTGGTGTCTGTGGGGCAACACAGAAGCAATCAGATTCAACCTGCACCATTAAAAGACAGTTGATGAATGATAATTAGAATTTAAATGGTAGCTGTAGGACATTGTAAAGCAGCCCTGACAGAAAGTGCATCTAAACCCCAAAAACAAAACTATATTGCAACTTACAAAACTGGATGACATTTAGGTTTGCTAAAGCACTGTGTATCAAACCACTACTTTTTAAACCTATTTTCATCATTTGAAGCTAGAAACTCTACTTGGTGGAGGGAGGAAATGACAGGTGGATTCCAGCCGCAATTGTTGGCCCTGAATATGAATATGGCCCTGCATTTAGTGCCCTGAGATCCAAGAAGGGGCAAATATGCCTTTTGGATTTGGAACAGTAAACAGGTTGGAATAAAACCTATGTCCCAGTTCCTGCAGGGGAATGTTTCCAAAGACACCTCATTCCAGAAGACCTGAGAGAGCCCAATCAAAATATGTTAATCTCTGCAGAGACACACGTAGGTTGGAAGTAAGAAAACAAGGAGGGCATAAAATTAGTTTGAACAGCTTGCATTTCAGATACATGGGTGCCTAAGGTGGTGTCTTAGGGCTACAACTATATCACATATACTGTATATTCAAAGATCAACAGACAATCCCCACTTTGTAAAGTGGGGGTGCACCTTCATGCAGAGGAAAGCTAGTCTGAGGATTTTTGGAGATAGATTTGCTGTCTGCTTCTTCTGCTGAGGAAGATGGGTACCCTTAACATCTGAACCCTGATAAGTTGTTTCTCCCCTAAATACTCAGAAAATTTGGAAAAGAGAGGGTGCAAAGGCAAAGTGTTCATGGCCTTAAAAGTTTTAAATGGCCCCAAACTTAAAACAGCACTAGTAGAAGCAACAGGCTAATCCTCTCATTTCAAAGTGAGACGCACTGCATTAATAAGAGCCAAAACGCCTCCTTAAATTTAGGAGTAGAGTAAGACACCGCATGGGGCAAGCACATCTAGCAAAGCCACTAGCGATGCAGGTAAAGCAGAGCTAGAATTTTCTAGAGAGGGCATGGGAGCATACTTGTGGCCTCTGTGGTCATAAAATCTTGCATGGCTGCAGTAAAACCCTCAGCAGACCCAGACATACACAACAGAGCTAAGGAGGATTCTGTGGTGAGAGACTCTAATAGCACAGCTTATAACTCCAGGCAGCAGGAAGATGGCATTGAAGATAGATGGATTGAAGCTGGAAGAATCTTTGTAAGCACCAGCAGCAGTGGGGGGCATTCTTCCCTGACACTATATGGCAAGAGAGAGCATACGTGCGACACGTCACCGAATTGATTAAATTCGCACCTCTTCCAGAGCAAAGCAAGATGGACATGGGAAATAACAGCTCACAGCAACCCAATAAAATAAGGGAGCTCACGGATCGACCTACTCAGTAGGTGAGTTGTCAAAAACAGAACAAGCACAGAGGCAATTTCAGAAGCTCATGACCTGGAAAGCACTCTATAGCTAACTTAACTAGAATAGAATCTGGAAAGCGTCCCACAGAAGACCCAGTACCTGAAGGACACTTCCAGGTTAGCGCTGCAACGTCCAGATGCAGTATGGTCCAAAAGTCAGGCTGAGAACAACTGGAGGGTAGGGATGCACAGATACTTTTCGAGTACCAGTGCAGATACTTGGCATTTTCATGAGAGCTACCAGGGTGGCAGCTGGGGCCTGGCTCTGGCACTCCACCACAGAAAAACTGTAAATGAACTGCAATAAACAAAAATGTATCAGTACTTGTAAGTACTCGGCCAGTACCAGTACTCGCAAAACTGGTATCTTTTCATCCCTTTATTTTTATTTATTAGGGCCTGTTCACATGAGTTTTAGGTCTGGATCAGGTGCGGATGTGCAGACGCGGTGCTATGTGTTTTGCCGCATTTTTGATGCGTTCCAGTTAAAATATATATATGTATTTTTTGCTGGAGTGGGGCTGTCAGTACGTTAGCTGCAGTGCAGTGCGTTTTTGCGTTTCCCGACCGTTTCCTGGCCGTACAAAATGTGACATGCAGTATTTTTCTATCGTAACCTGAACGGACTGCGCACGTGAGAACTGTAGCCCATAAACACATAGGGATACATTGGGATGCATTTTTAGTGCAGGAGCGTACAGATCAGGTCAGCACAGAAAACGGACGTCGTGTGAACAGGCCCTAAAAACAAAATCATAAAAATCATACATTAAAACAGAGATGTAATTGCCAACCGACTAAATCCACTCCTTCCGGGAGTGATCCACACTGATCAGGTGGGGTTTGTCCAAGGGAGAGAGGCACAGGATAACACCATCCGGACACTCGTGTTGATGCATCATGCTAAAAAGTCAGGTACACCGCTTTGCCTCCTGTCGGTAGACACAGACAAGGCATTTGATCGCCTGGACTGGTGTTTCCTGCATCGCACTTTAGAGCAAATAGGCATTCGACCTGCCATGCTTAGAAACATCATGGCCCTCTACTCGAGCCCATCGGCTAGGGTTCACGTCAATGGATCGCTCTCCCCTAGCTTTAAGATCACTAATGGCACCAGACAGGGCTGCCCGTTGTCCCCTCTCCTCTACATCCTCACCATGGAGCATCTGGCAGTCGCCCTCCGACACAACTCGGCCTTTCAGGGACTACAGGTGGGGCCCCACAGATCCAAACTGGCGCTCTTTGCTGACGACCTCCTGCTTTATGTGACCAATCCTCATATCGCCATGCCCACAATACTACAGGAAGTTCAACGTTTCAGTTCCCTTAGTAATTTTTGGGTCAACCTCACTAAGTCGGAAATCCTAAATGTGTCCCTAGGAGCGACAGACTTGCGCCGATTGACAGACAATTACCCTTTCCACATTTGCTCCACATCTTTGAAGTACTTAGGCATCTCTATCCCGACTGATGTGACTGACCTGTACTCTACCAACTTCCGCCCGCTATTGGATAAGGTGACCGGAGACCTGGCAGCCTACGGTAGACGTATTTCATGGCTAGGTAGGATCAATGTGCTCAAAATGGATGTAGTCCCCCGGTTTCTCTACTTCTTCCAGACTGGGCCCATAGCCCTACCACACACCTACCTGAAACAGGTCCAACGGGTCTTCTCAAGATTCATATGGTGCACCTCGCACCCTAGATTGGGATACAAGACATTGACACTTCCGAAGCGTAGGGAGGGGACAGGTGCGCCAGATATTTTTCTCTACCAGGCCTCAGCAGTATTGATCCGCATAGTAGACTGCAGACATGTGCGATTTGTTCCGAAATTCGTTTTGGACGAATTTTCGGTAATTCCGAGATTCGGATGCATCCGAATTTCGAATTAAAGCTAAGACGAATGCAAACGAATCCGAAATTCCCGATTTCCCGAAATTCGTTATTAAACGAATTTCGTTGCAACAAAACGACATTAGGGAAAAAAAACTACCTATAGAAATGTTGGAGAAGGTAAATATAAAGTACAGAAGCGATAGCGTAGAGGGTAGGGGACAGGTTTGCCATTGTTAAGGTCGCAGGTTCTAGTCCCGGGTAGGTAGTGTAATGGATAAAGATTTTTTTTTCTTTGCTTTTGAATTGGCATTCTCCTATTGACCTAAATGTAATTTTTTTTTCTCATTTTGCTATTGGAAAATTAAATTATTATTTTTTAGACTGCAGAAAATGATAATTTTAAAGGGGAACCCCAGCCCCCAAAAATGGGGAAAAGAAACGTGGGGTCCCCCTAACAGACCCTTGATCCGAGCACAGGCCCGGCAGGGCAGGAAAGTGGGGGGACGATCGAGCGCCCCCCCCCCTGCGCCTTACCAGGCCACATGCCCTCGTCATTGGAAGGGTGTCCCCATGCCGATGGGGACAAGGGCCTCTTCCCCACAACCCTGACCCGGTGGTTGTGGGGGTCTGCGGGCAAGGGGGCTTATTTGCATCGGGGTACCCCTTTAAATAAGGGGCACCCAGATGCCGCCCCCCCCATGTGAATGAGTAAGGGGTACTTGTACCCCTACCCATTCACTAAAGGGTTAAATCAAATAGTTAGTAAAAAGTCCAGACTTTTGACAAAATCCTTTAATTGAAAAAAAAACAAAACAGTTAATTTTTGACTATTCCTTTAATACATTTTTTTAATTAAAATGGCTCCATCGATGTAATCCAGAGTCAGGATCAGGATGCAGCACCCCCGCCGACCCGCCAAAATAAAAAAAGTCCCGCCGCAGACGACCACCCGAATCCGACGAAAACTAGCCGCACAAAAATGACATTCTCAGCTGTCAAATGCTACATATTGCATTCATATATATCTAATGCTTCTGTGGTTAAAGTATAGAGGCTATAGTGTAGTGGTTAAAGCACAGGATTGCCATTGATAAGGTCGCAGGTTCTAGTCCGGGTTGGCCTTAAAAGTTTTTTTTTTTTTTCATAAACGAATTTCGGCAGCACTACCGCTAACGAATTTCGTCCTAAACTAAACAAATTTTTTGCTGGTGCACATGTCTAGTAGACTGGTTTCATAGGGCAGAAGAGAAACAGTGGGTTCGCCTGGAGGAGACGCTCACTACAGGTGACTTGCTCACCTTGCCCTGGGTACCCTCTGGATCACGACCGGTGCCCTCTTCCCTCCTAACGACACACGTTTTGAAACTCTGGGACCACTATGTCAAACACCATGCCTTATCGGCCTATGTGGGCCCGA